GCCCCCACCTGACCCCCTACGAGGTAGGGGAGGCTGCTGGGGGGGCCGAGGAGCAGTGCTGCTAAAGGGCAGGAGGGGAGCTGCTGGGGGCCAGGAGCAGCGCTGCTAAAGGGCAGGAGGGGAGCTGCTGGGGGGCAGGAGGGGCGCCACTACAGGGCAGGAGGGGCGCCACTACAGGGCAGGAGGGGCGCTGCTGGGGAGCCAGGTGGGGGGGGGGTAGGAAGAGAGGGGAAGGAGGGGCGCTACTGGGGGCAGGAGGGGAGCTGCTGGGGGCCAGGACAGGGGGGTAGGAAGAGGGGGGCAGGAGGGGCGCTGCTGGGGGCAGGAGAGGGGGGTAGGAAGAGGGGGGCAGGAGGGGCGCTGCTGGGGGCAGGAGAGGAGCTGCTGGGGGTGATGCTCTCACACAGGGTCCCCTCGCTGACTGTGCCCCCCCTCTACTGCCCCCAGCTCTGTGCCCGTCCGCCCCATTGAGCCCCCGAGATACTCACGGATCAAGAACTGGGAAGTGGGTACCATCGCCTACGACACGCTCAGCGCCCAGGCCACGCAGGTGAGGGCGGCGCCGTGGGGCACGTGGGGTGGGGGATGGGACCCAGGCCCGTGGGAGGGGGTGCAGGTGTGCTTGAGGAGCTGTCACCCATCGGCTGGATGCCAGGCTGCTGGGGGGAGTCCAAGCCTCTGGCTCCCTGCATTTCGGGGGGCTGTAAACCTCGGGGGCCTGACCAGAGCTCAGCTGGGTGCGTCCAGCCAGAGCCCCTGCAGCGCCTGAGACGGGCGGCTGGCCTGGAGGCTGCCCCTGGCCTGGGCCCCGCTGGGCCTGGCCCCTCGTTCCCGACCCCATTGTCCTGCTCCAGCTCTTCCACGACCCTGGGCGCACAGTCGGGAATTGTCTCCCTCAGGAGCGGCTGACACGCCATGTCCTCGCGGGTCCTCTGCCCGCCCTGTCCCGGACTCCCAGGACTCGGCTCTCTCGGCTCCGTGCGGTCCCCGGGGGAAACCCCGTCAGGGCAACAGCCCTTCTCGGGGGGCCGCTCTCTCTCGGGGTTAAGCCCCTCGGCCTCCTGGGCCTGCACCTCTGAGCCTCCAGCAGCCTGGCTCTGCCGTGGGCCCCCAGTGCTCCCATCCCCAGAGGCAGCGATACCCCCCCCCGATCTCCCCACCCCCAGAGGGAGCCAATACCCCCCGATCCCCCCCGAGGGAGCGATGCCCCCCCCATCTCCCCACCCCCCGAAGGGGACAATGCAACCCTGTTCTCTAGCCCGGAGCAACTCTCAGCCAGCGTAACACAGGAGGGTTTAATGAGAGTTGAACACAGCACAGGAAACTCTCTGACCCTCAGGCCTGGCCTCCCTCAGCCCAGCACATCCCAGTCTCTCTGCATCCAGGTGGGCTCTGCCTGCTCCCCCTCTCCAGCCCCGAGCCCCCCTGCTTCCCTGCTGGGCATCTGAGATCACCCGCCCCAGGTCGCGCCTCTGTCCATTGTCTTCTCTCCAGGGAAACAGGGTTGTAAACCGGGGCCTCCTCTCCTCGCTTCTGTCCTCTGGCTGGAACCGGCTGGTCAGATCACTGGGTCCTCACTCTGCAGCCCATTGTCCGCTCACTGGCCAGAACCGGCTAATTGCCAAGCTGGTTGCTAGGTCCCCCATCTCCCGGCTGTTGTCCGGGGTCCCGACTGCTGGGCGAGGTCACACCAACGAGCCCCACGCCCACCCCCACCCCTTCGTCACACACGCAGCACACTGGGAAACTGAGACACACACCATATTCATGCAAAACACTAAGAAAATCCCCCACTTCATCCCCCTTCCAGTCTGAACTGAGTGGGGTCACTCCAGCCGGTGCCTGGGGAAGTTCAGGGTCCCCACTCCGGGACAAAGCGTTGGCTAGAACGTTTGAACTTTTATCAACATGGATCACGTCCATCTCATAACCCTGGGGGATCAGACCCCATCGTAGGGCTGGGCATTAGCCCCTGTCAGTTGGTGCAGCCCGCCCTGCGTCTGAGCTTCTCCAAGTCTGGGTCTACCCCTGGGTTAGAGCCTCCTTCGGTGCACAGAGCGCCCGGCACTGGTCCAGACTTCCCCGACCGGCTCGCCCTTCTCACACAGACCTGCCATCCATGAGAGACCTGGGCCTGCTTCTTGCTTTGAGAAATGGGCCACTCTCTGATCCCCCTCACCTTGGCCGGCTCTGGCTTTAGACGGACGCTTCCCGCCTTGTGGCCCAGATACGACGCCTCTGCCATCCCCACCTTCCCCTTCCAGTCTCTATAGTTGTCCAGCATCCTGGTGTCCCAGCTCCTCCTCACGGGGGACATGGTTCTCCCCAGCTGGCCTGAAGACACTCTCCCGGGCACACCTCTCCACCCCCCTCAGGAACTGATCCCCCAGGCCCTGGGAGGTGGCAGGTGCCCCCTTGAGGCTGACAGGCAGGACCAGGAACCCCAAAAGCCCCATGGGGTGATGGGAGACGATTCCAACCCAGCATCTGGGTGCCAAGGTACCAGCCAGTAGCCTTTGGTGAGGTCCCTGGAGTGAGGTCACTTGTTTAGGATCTTGTCAGGCCGAGGCATGGGGCAGGCATCGGACACA